GGGATCGAGTCCCACATCGGGCTCCCTGCTCGGCAGGGAGTCTGCTTCTCCCTCTGACCCTCTTCCCTCTCGTGCTCTCTATCTGTCATTCTCTCTCTCTCAAATAAATAAATAAAATTAAAAAAAAAGAAAAGTACAGGACACAAATGTGCATATACGCTATTACTTCGTATCAAAGAATACGATAAAAAGAGGAATATAAACATGTTGTGAACATCTATTTACTATCTTGAGAAGTGATGTGCTTGCCAAATGGAGGAGTGTCTCTGAGAGACAGGCAGAAAGGATCATTTGTAAACCATTAGCCACTCAACAGGGAGGAAGGAGAGGCAGCATAAAGACCTAATGCAAGAATGTTCAGAACCATTTCCATCAGAACACTAAGGACAAATAAAGATGTACCCTCTCAAGTTATAATTTAAATAATGTGCAAATATGATCTACTTTGGAGGAGGAAATTTGAAAGGTACACCTCCCTAGTGAGGTCTAAAAGTAAAGGAGGTTTTCAACTTGGCTCTTTTCATTTCGAAGTGTCTTCAGCAAACCCTTAATCTCCTCAGTGTTCCTTCCTGAACTGCTGTTAGGGTCTCGTCCTCAACAGGTAAAGCAGGTCTGTGTTGTTGGCTGCTAGAACAACATTGTGGGAGGACAGGCCCTCATGTGTTAGGGATTCTGGTCCTGACATGGTAGGCTGAACTCGCTTCGAGGGCACGTGACGAAGAGTTATAAATTAATTGTGTGATGGAGGAAGTCCTTAGGAATACCGTGCCTGCCCCTTGTTTCTGCTGGTTGGCGGTCACCATGGCGACCTCTACCTCCAGACCAAAGTTCAGCCGCTGTAAATCTTTATGACCACACTCATAGTCCAATGTTCCTTGGGGCATTTTGTCCCTTGAAGAGCTAGCTTTTATATTTTACAAGAACTTTTCATTTGGACTCCTTTTCTAAATACTGGAGTCCAGATGTTAAGGTCCAAACATAGTACAAAAAATCGTTGCTTTCTTTGTTAACCACAGGACCCCTCCTTTCCTGAGAAGATGCCAACGACGAAGAAAACACTGATGTTCTTATTGAGCTTTTTCACAAGCTTTGGGGCGTTCGTCGTCGTCTGCTCTATGCTTGGGACCCAAGAATGGGTCAGCAGCATAATTGCCATCAGTGACTCTTCTTCAAACGGTAGTCTTGTTATCGTCTACGGACTCTTCCGCGGTAACAGTCGTCAGGAATTCAGTCATGGACTTGAGGAATCAAAGAAGGACTTTGGAGGTAAATGAGAAATTAATTTGAATGGGTATAGCGAGATTGCATTAACTGGGTAAGACTCATGTCATCCTCTATTTGGGCCAAATAACTGTACAAAAATTTTTCCTTGTAAGCTCTGAGATGGCTTGTAGATATGAACATATATTTTTAATTTTTGAAAATTCACCCACATTATTATTTCAGCTTCCTCGGTTCTGGTTGTGTCTGTTAGCACCACAGTCTAAATAATTCTGGCGGAGGCTCTGTTGAAGCAACATTACCAAGTTTACTGACAAGTAAATAATTAAGTAAGTATGTCTAGCAGGAATATGGTATCCAATATAGGGTAGTAGGAACAGCATTTTTAGTTGTATCGACTGCAGATTTTTATTCATTTTTTTTAAGACTTTATTTATTCATTTGAGAGAGAAAGAGAGTGAGAGAAAGACAGCATGAGTTGGGTGAGGGGCAAAGGGAGAAACAGACTCCTTGCCGAGCAGGGAGCCCAACGCGGGGCTTAATCCCAGGACTCCAAGATCATGACCTGAGCCAAAGGCAGATGCTTAACTGACTGAGCCACCCAGGCGCCCCTAAAAGCAGCATTTGTAAATTATTTAGCACCTGGGACGGACTCTGCATCAAGCAGCGTTGCAGGCAGGTAGACAGGCATTATCAGCCATGACTCAGTCATTCTCCACTGACTTAGAAATGTGTGTCATTTTCCACCTCATACAAATGTAGTATTTAGTTCGAGTTTGAACCTTAAACACTGAACAACGTAGTTCTATCTCCAAGTTATGAAATTTATCTCTTAGACATTAGCAAAAGCAGTGTCTTTTCCAGTGGCCCAGTAACGTTACATGCCCCCTCCAGGAGCGGCCTCAGCGATGAATATTCCCTCTGCAGCAACCCGAAACTAAGACCTTCAAACATGCAGTCACACATTCAGTATGTGAATAGCATTTTCAAAACCAGAATGTGTACCAGTTCCTGAGCCTCCAGACACACTGAAAAATTTTTAAATATGAGATAACAGCCGGTGAATTTTTTGATTTTCATGCTGTCTGTTTGGAACCAGTTGGTTCCCATCTGAGAGACAGGGCTTCAGTGAGAGCGCTGATTGCCTGTATCAGGAAAGCTCGGGGAGGCCAGGGCAGGTCCGAGCCTGACTCTAAAGCCCTGTGTGAGCGAGGTGAGTGGGATGGTGTGGAGATCGCAGGGAGAGGCACAGTCTAGAACAACCCTGAGGGCACAGGGCCAAGTGGGCACCATGGCACCATATGGCAGCATGAAGGAGGCACACTATTTGCATTTGTTTTGCCTGGGTCTCCACTTTTATTCTTTGTAACTGCAGAGCTATGGTCAACTTTCTCAAGTCACTGCCCAGCGTCCAGGTGCTATAGAAGACCAGCGGCCCCCCAGTCAGAGAGGGTGCAGCACAATTGCTCTGGCTGATGTCTGCTGAGGGCTCCCCAGAGCCTAGGGGTTGTTCACTGCTGAGGGTTTTAACGATCACTGGACTTGGAACATTTGTAAACGGCTAAGATAGGGGAAAGTCCTATAACTAGAACGTATATCATGGCGTTCAGCTGCTGCAGACCCATGGGTGTTTTCCCTTGAGAGCAGAACTGGAGACTGAGTAGAGCTGCTGCCCAGCTGGTTTCTCGGGACCACATGGGGCTCATCTCAAATCAGAAACCAATCGCTGGCAGCAAAATAAAATCTGTATAAATGCCACTTCCTTCCCCAGCAGTGATGCATCAACTTTTCCATTTAAGATGTTAACATTATCAGCTTCCTGCCCAGGATGAGGTCTCATTGAAAATCTCCAAAGAGGAGTGAATATTGCAAAGCTCACCTATATTTCTGCCTAGGACTTATCACATTGTGCCAATCTGGGCTATAGATTTTGAGATGACAACACAGTACGAAGTGACAATGGCTGATTTCAGCATGCCAAAAGAATCCAGCCACCAATAGGTCTACTGATGGGGAAGATAATCCGTCGAGCCTGGCAAGGAAACTGTCCAATACGTGACTAGATTATGTGGCCGGCTCAGCCCAACAGGAGATCTACTAGCTTCATCTGGTGGCCTCTCGGTTTGTCCAATATCCAGATGAAAAGTTACAGTCCTTATGTCTACCAGTAAGCACGTTGCTTTTGCTACTTCAAAAGTTCTGGATATTGAATTTCAGTCCAAAACACTTCCCTGGGCAGCCGCTCCATGAGGGAGGGGATGGGACCCGAGAGGCACTGCGCATGGCTCCTGGGCTTGGTGAACTCGCCATAGCTTCTCTCTAGAGAAAGGCCCCTGTCAGTTAATTCAGGCAGAGCAGGTCACTCTGACAGCAAGAGGAAGTTGCACCCAATCTGCCCGCCCACCCCCCCGTCTCTTTTCTCCGCCTACCCCGTTTGTTCTCAGGGGACTCAAAATTGCACTTATTGGCCCAAGCTAAAAAATAATTAGAACAGTAAATCTGCTGCAAAAATCAATTAATTGCAAGGAGACAAACCAATGAGGCTTATTTCTTCCTTAGTACTTCTACTTACCAACCCCCCCCATATACTTATACTTTTCCGAGGAGAAGCAACTTACTATTTGTCCCCAGAGACATGGCCATGTTGGGTGATGGAGTTTAACAGGGCAGAAAATGCGCTCCCCCTCCTTCTCTATGAGAGAACCCAGATAAATTTCCCAGAGGCTGGGCATGACAGCTGCAACTTCTTGGAAGACCTCAAAGGCTCAGCTTATCAGGGGTATACTGTGGTCCCTGGGTTGAGGAATCTACCGGGTAAGGCTCCCTGATGACCAGGTGTCCGAGGAGAGGGTGTGGGCAGTTCCTGCCCACCCACAAAGCCACAGGCTCTCCCTCAAGGTCTGAGGACTGATGGGAAACCAGAGCCAGGAAGACCCTATGGCAAGGGGCTCCTGAAGGGTTAAATCTCCATGCACAGAAAGCCCGATGTCCAGATGACCCATTTCTGTACACTGCCCACTGCCCCCAGCACGTTTTCTGCCTCCCAGCTGTGGGAGCGATGGCTCTTTCCTGAGGTTGCCAGAATCCGGGCAATTAGTTCCAATTGTGAGGTGGTTTTCCCGATTCCAACGCTTGGCCCTGAAAAAGAAGAGGAAAGAACGGAATGTATTTGCTAATTTTGTAGGCCGAGAGGAGCTGTCAGATGCTGGGGGTGGTTATTCTATTTCATTCTTGCCAACTTTCCCTGAATTTCCAGCTTTCATTGTCTGCGTTCTGAGCCAGGAGGGGGCTGAGACATATAACTGTCATACCTGTGTGGCAGGAAATTCAGATGCCGAAATAGAATTCAAAAAGACAGCAGTTAAGATAAATTGTCCCATTAATACAAAGAAAAGTATGAGTCAGTAGGCTCCAAATTGATGCCCTTTTGAAAAATCGTGTCTGTTAAATCTTAGCAACAGTCAAAAACAAAGCCTAACCTAATTGTCACTTTCTAGTTTACTCTGAAAAAGTGGAACATTCACCATTTGCAAATGAACATCCATTTACAGCTTTCAAAAAGTGTACAAAGCAGACATACTCTCCAGGGCACGCCAGAGATGACATTCTCCCCCACACTGAAATGTCTATTTCTCAGTTAAGTATCCAAATTATTTCTTATTGGCTAAACACAGAGTTTATTTAGTCCCCAGCAAATTTCTGATTAGAGCTTCAGGCTTCCTCCTTGTGGCCTGGGAGGAGCAGGGTGATCGGGATGGGAAGCAAAATTCTTCCTCATGGTGAGAGGTGGAAACTTCCCAGCATTCGACCCTGCAGCTTCGAACAGGTGCGTCCTACTATCCGTTTTGCCCTAGTCCTCCTCTCGTGTCATCATCCACTCGTTTCAGGACAGATGTGCGCTACATTAGAACCATGGGAATCCCCCGACCCCGGCATCTCCGCGGCGAGAGTCTCAGCCTGAGCTCAGGGCCTTCGGAACAGCCCAGCCCATGCGGTTCCCCAGAGGGCAGGTGGCCCCTGGGACCCCAGCCATCACCCCCCGCAGGCCATAGGTGGTGGCAGGCAGGGCCACATGTTTTATTTAACCTATAACCGCCGGATGGATCCCACAGAGGGCTCTGCTGAGGACTTGGCCCAGCCTGGGGGTCATTAGCAGAGGTTGTGAAACCGTCCAGTCACCGCTGGGTCTGTGTGAGCTGAACTTTGCTCCAGGCCCGCCTCTCACCGAGGAGCAAAATGTTCTCGGGCCAAGGGCGGTGACGTCATTGGGTCCATATTGCCGGGCTGAGAGCTGCCCTCTTCCGGCCTGTGTTCGCCCAGGGGGGGTCCCAGGGATGCGTGGCCGCGCCTGCACCGGGCGGCTACAGGTCTCCGACTCCGCTCCTCTTTCCACCGGTTTGGTTTCTGTAGCCTCTCGCTGTGCACTGTCCAGTGGCCGGAAACCTGCCTCCTTCCCAGAGTACTACCGATTAAACATAAAAATCGGAATTAACAATCTAGATGCTCAGAACTGGAGAGAGGAGAGACCGGGGGCAGGTGTGCGCGCTCTGGGCCGGGGGCGGGGGTGGGGGCGGGGGCGGGGGCGGGGGGAGGGCTGTGCCTCTCTGGCAGACGTGTTGTGGGGCTTTGGAGTCAGAGTCAAGTGTGTGCAGAGCAGGGGCCAGGCGGGCAGGAGCTTTGGAGTCACGCCTTACAAAGAACATTCTGGAGATGTGGGCTGTTAATCACATTGAGGTTTATGTCTTTCTTCACTGACGAGAGAGGCTGCCAGACGGAGAGGAGCGAGTAGATTCTGAGTTGCCCCAGAGGAAGGAGAAGGACTCCTGGCAAAAGTCGTAGAGACGCATGTTTGGGCCCAACACAATGAAGAGCTTTTATTTATTTATTTATTTGTGCGTTGTCATTTTTTTTTTAAGTCTAAATTTTAGTTAGTTAACATACAGAGCAATGTCGGTTTCTGGAGTAGAACTCAGTGATTCATCACTTCCCTACGACACCCGTGAAGAGCTTTTAAATAATGAAGGCGACACGGCATGGAAGGGACCACCTTGCAAAGAGCGAGCCCCTTGCTGCCAGGACACATGTCAGGAGCAGGCTTGGCTGCTCCTTCCCTGGCACGCACCACGTCCTGGGGCCCCTCCAGTTCTCAGGGATCCCGTTTTTTGGCGCACTCTGGTTCAGAGAGCGAGATAAGGAGCCCCCAGGCCCTCAAACGATATCTTTCCTGGCTTTTCTGGTTTCTGTTCTTTAAAGCTGCGGTGTGACAAGGCTGGGAGTGGCTCCCCACTCTCTCCCAGGGGCCTGGGAAACAGGAATGGAAAGAAGAAAGTTTTTACTTTCTCTTACCAGACCTCCCCCGCCCATCACGGTTCTTACATCTCACAATTCCCAATGACTTTGTTGGCATCTTACGATGAACTCTGAAATCTTCTCCCCAGATTACTTTTTCTCTATATCATTGTGGCTTTCACAGAACATCCTGGTAAACACTTTATTTAATGTGGTGGCAATCACCTAAGGCCCTAAAACACACCCGCAGCCTTTGGGGATGTTTTATAAATGCATGGCTGCGGTTACAGGTAAGTGTGGGGACAGCATGCCCCTGGGGTCTGGCCATTTTGTGTTGTAAACAAAGGAGCGAACAGGGGAAACAGATTCCTAGGGACAGTGGCTGGTTGTGGTTAGAAACAGGAGGATGGCAAAAGCAGGAACTCATGGCTAACGGCCCAGGGCATCTGTGTTTCATTTGGCACGAATGCATATCCATGCCTGGAGCTCCTTTGCACTTAAGAAAAATGCACATTTTATAAAATGTTGTGTGGGCTCAGAGGAATTGAGCTTGGGAAGAATTCTGATGGCTCACCCAGGGGTCACCTTTTGCATTTAAGCCACATGGGCACTGGGTCCTCTGTAGCTCCAGGGCAGTGACGTCGGGAAGTGTGGCCGACACCTCGGTTGTACGCACAGCAGTCTTCTGCCTGTCCCCAAGGCCATCTTTGCCTCCCAGCTACCTGGTCACCTCCATCAGCCCCTCCCCTCCTGGCCTTCTGTGTAATGGGCTCACCTCCGAAATCTCTGGGTGTACCAGATCCTCTCAGTCACAGGTTTTCAGTAAGTGTCCCCAAGCGGAAGCATAGTAGTGCTCTGAGCAAGAGAACACCATCCATAAGGAGGTGATGCCGGCTGTCAGGCATCTGAGGCCGGAATGCCCTGAGGAGGGTTGTCCAGCCCTGCCGCAGCTTATCAAGGAGGGCACCCTCTTTTCTCGGGGAAATTAAAATTGGGCTGGATAGCCAGTTATCCGAAGTCCTGTGGTTGCACACATGCAAGCGGGGAATGAGGATCCCGAGGCGCCACCCCTTCCTGTTGGCGCACACCTGAGGGGTGCCTCCTGCAATTCCTACCCCCAGTGCCCGAGAGGAGAGAGTGCGGGGGGGGACTGCCAGGGTGCGGGTGGCGTAGCCCTCGGGTCTAGGGCTGGTGTTTGCTTTTTGTGCTACGTGCTTACCACCCACTGTTTTAGTTTTAGAGAAATTGAACAATTCTTCCCAAAGAACGCTGCATTTGGTGGTTATCCTGTTCCTGGTCCTCAGCCTGTGCACTCTGCTGCTCAGCTCTGGGCTCACCTTCTACAACAGCATCAGCAACCCCTATCAGACGTGTTTGGGGCCAGTGGGCGTGTACACCGGGAGCGGACTTGGCGGTGAGTACCCCCGGGGACACCGGGTGCTCTGCTGACAAGCATGACCTCTGTGTCTCTGTCTCTCCGGTGCTCCGTCCCACGCAAGAACACACACGATCCCAGGGGAGCCGTGGAAATTAGGCAGACCTAGTATGTGCCAAGTTGTGTGCTGGGGCCCGGGGTTTATATCTGTAAACCTACAGAGTTTATGAAGCATCTTGGAAATAAAATTGTTTTAAATGCCCTGGTAGAGAGGCAAGGAGTGACATGCGGACAGGGTGTTAGCTGTTGAAATACGTAACATAAGCCAGTCTTTGCTATTGAGTACCGAACGTAAGGAGTTAAACACAATGCTCCTAAATGGACAAAACAGTCACTGTTGACAACTATACTCCTGCTATGTGCTTAACTCCAAATTAGGTTCCATATAACGTATGGAAGTACACACACACACACACACACACACACACAGGTGTGTGTGCACATGCATGTACACATTTATGTACACACACAAACATGCACACATGTACACATGCACATATACACATATATACACACATTCACACATACACACACATACACACACTTATTTACTCTCCTCACCTCCAAATAACAGTCAGTGTGGGCTAAAATCCAAACATGACACATCTGTATGACTGTCCCACAGAGGACCACAAAGGTCATTTAGAGACTCTGGGGTCAACACCCTTCTTGTGGGTGACCTGTGAGCTCACGGTGATTCTGTAGGGTGTGGCTAGGTTACTTTGTGTATTGTCAACGTTGGGGTAGGGGTGCAGCACAGATGGGAAGCAGATCCCAGCTTCGGTCACAGTATGTGTGGCTCTCACTGGGGCTTCTCGAGGCTTGGCAGCCACTGTGAATGCCCAGGATGGCTGCCAGCCGGAACCATGCCGTCAGAACTCTGATTCCCTTGGGTGCTTGTCTCTTGATTTTCCCAATGCTCTCTCTGGTGTTAAGCAGCGAGCTGGTCCCCTTAGAGGCAGGATGGCTGCCAGCAACCCCAGGAGAAAGGACCTCTTTTCCCCCAAATCTGAGTCTCCCTGAAATTTTCCTTCCCCACCCCTGGAGCAAGCTCCATGGCCACCAATGGGGTTGAACTCACTGGCTGACTCACCCAATGGCTGGGACACCTGATCCCTTGGAGCTGGGGCTCGGGGCAGCTCCAAGAGGAAAATCAGGTGCCAGTCCCGAAGGAGGTTTGGATGTGGGGCCGCAGGGACAAGATGGGGACCCCGTCAGCATGCTACGGCCCATGGGGCTCAAAGCCCGTTGCTTCATAAAGCCTGTTTCTGCAAGGCTGGAGTTTCCAGCTCTTTGTCTCCACAGTCGAGGATAAGCTGACTTTGCACCTGGCAGAGGCCGATGCGTGTTTGTGGAGGAAAACATGAAAAACACAGGACCCGAGGCCTTCCCCTCAATCCCCGCCTACTTCTCACAACAAAGACTCCTCTGACAGGGAGAGAGCTCCTGCGGCATTCCTTCCCCGGCTTGGGGCAAGTTCTAACACACAGAAGGGGCTGTCGGGTGGGCAGAGAAGCCACCCGAGACATGGATGTGTAAGGAGGAGGTCTGCATTCCGGCAGGGGTCACAGGGAAATCTTTGTGGCTTCGGGCTTCCCGTCCGGCCTCCTCTGAATGTCCCTCCTGCCTTCTTGATCCCAATGCTCTGGGAAGCCAGACTTTGGCCCTGAGTTTGCCTCTGGGGACTCCCAATCTTCTTCACATGAGCTTCGAGTGTGCAGAACGTAGTGGGAACTCTAGGTGAGGCTCGGCCCGCAGAAGGCTTTTATGCACAAAGATGCCATTGACATATCCTTGCTTTGGGTCATCTTGGCAGGAGACTTGGTCCCCGTGGTCAGGCTGGCTCCGGGGTCTCTTGAGCCAGAGGGAAGTGCCGCAAATCCCCATTGAGGCTAGATTTGAACAAACTCCCCTTGGCTGCAGGGAAGAGGACCTGGGCTTCCTAGCCTGGTTTGTGGCTCGGAAGGAACAGGAGCAGATTCTGCTTGGAGGAAAACACAGCGGCATCACAACCTCCCAGGTTCCTGTGCCCTCTGACCCCAGCCTGCCCTTCGCCCCACAGCGGCCTGGCGTGGCCCGACCCTGACCACAGGGGATATAACCGTGGACTGAGAGAATGTCGGGGCCTGACAGAACTTTGCAGATTGTTTGATCCTCGGCCCAGGAGCCCGGAGAGCAGAAAGTGATGGGGCAGGTCACATGGCCTGGTGGGGAGAGGCCAGGCCTGGAGCTCCCCCTGCTACCACGGGGCCCCCTTTACCCCTCTGCAAATCCCCTGCCCCAGAGAGCTGGGGACGCAGACAGGGAGCGGCAGCTTCTTCCTGCCGGGGCTCAGGTCTGCACAAGTCAGCAGCGGCCCCTTCCCGATTCAAATCAAAGCCGAGCCCGCCCCACTGCAGAGAAAAGTGTGTGACCCTGTGTTCACCCTGCCTCTTTGTGACTAAGCTTTTATAAGAAATTTCACAAGGGCATAATGAAGGATAATTAGGGAGTGTGAGACGCATAGAGCTTCAGAGGAGGGGGCTCTTGTATGTCCAAATTATTGAGAAGTAAAACCATCACGCTGAGCATGAAAGTCCATCATCAAGGACAGTCCAAGCGTTCTCCTCACACAAAAGCCCTCGAGTCAGGGCCTTTGGAGGACTGGGAAAAGTTTTCTGGGTGTGGGCTACGGCCAGGACACGCTGACCCCAAAACATCTGTCTAGTTGTGGGTAAATATTCTCAGAGATGGGCAACCGTCCCCTCCGTCAGTCTTGGAACATTCCATCAGCTCAGAGAGCACCCCGCACCCTCTGGCCTCTGCCACCTCCCCACTCCCAGCCCAGCCCCGTTCCAACCAACCACAAATCTACCCTTTGCCTTGGTCAGGCTGATCCCCTTTGGAAGGTGAAGAATGAGGTCCAGAGACGCACACAAATCACCCAGGGTTTTGTGGCTGGAGCCTTGCAACCTGGCTCTCTCTGACTCCAGAACCCTGCTCTCCAACTGGGCCAAAGTGGCCATCCAAAGTCACTACCAAGACACACTCTCCAGGGGAGGACGTTGTGAAGAATAAAAAAGGGAAGAGAAGACCATTAACAAGTTCTCTTCTCACACGAGTTTAGCCAGGAGACCCTTCCTGGTTAAATGCCATACTCCACTGCGAGCAGAATGAAAGCCCAGGCTCTGAGCCAGTGTCTGAGGCTCTCTGGGGTGGTCTCCTCCTCTCTAGTCAGTGCTCAGGACCCTCAGAGCAGCTGCCTGTGGGCAGGGTCCTGTCTCAAGGTCCCAGGGGCTCCGGGCTCCCTGGCCCCTGTGTGTCTTCGTGTAGACTGCCTCTTCTGTTGCAATGCTCTGTCCTTCAAGTTGTTGCCATCCATCCAGTCCTCTCTAGAAAGCTTGACGCTCCTGTCTGCTCATCCTCTAGTTCATTCCACACATCTCTGCCTGCACCAGCCAAGGGAGAGGTCCGCAACAGGACCTTCGGAAAGAACTTGAACCATATTTTCACTCTTGGCCGGACAATGCCCTCAGTCTTCAGCGGTTCATGCCTAGAATCTAGCTCAGGTCTTACACTTCCTTTACATTCCAATACCTAGAAGACGGTAAGCACCCCCCCCCCCGCCGTGTGCATATTCCATACATGCCCACAGAGCACAGGTTTCATTAAGAAAGAAAGTGACATTTAAAAAGGTATCACCATATCATTTATGAGACTGAATCTTCTTTCCAGCCTTCTTCATTTTCATGAGCATGATACTGTTTGTGGGGAACACACAATCCAACCATCTCTCGGAAGACCTGGCCCAGACGCTGTACCAGCCGTATCCAGCAGCTGCCTACGGAGGAACGACCCACAGCTATGGTTACTCGTTTTGGCTAACACTGCTTGTCATTCTTCTAAGTATTATCACTGTGGTCATCATTGTTTTCTACCAGAAGGCCAGATACCAGCGAAAGCAGGAGCAGAGAAGGCCCATGGAATACGCTCCAAGAGATGGAATTTTATTCTGAATTCGGTTATGTTATTTTGTTACTAGGTCTATTCTATTGTACATCAGCTCCCGAGCAGTGACTGGCTCACTTGTCTGGACAATCAGCAAGGTTAAGTGCGGCTCTGGTTGACGGTCATTTTGTGATAGTTTTGTATCTCATGACACTCCATGAATGATGTCACATAGCAAAGGGTTCTTTCCACTAAGGTGAGGAAGATGAAGGGGAAATCTCTCACAGTGTTCAAAGCGGTAGAATGATTACTAGACTATGGACCCTCCCGACCTGGTCTCACTCTCTAAGACAATAAAGGTTCATGGTATGCACTTTTCCTTTGAGTAGCTCAAAGCACTTTAGCACCTAGGATCTCCTTCTCCTTGGGAGGGACCAGGTATTTTTATTCCACTGTATGATTGAAGACTTCCAGGTACAGATTCAGAACTCGTCTTTCCGGGACCAGGTATTGGAGGCAAAAGGTGGGCAAAAGTTTGGAATAAATGCCCTGGTCCTGTGGACCCCTGGTTGCTGACATAATTCAAACCCAGTGGTGGGTAGAAGTGCTGATATATGACCTTCAGGCCCATTTTTGAGGTTCCAAGGGGGCAGTTTTTGTATGGAAGAGACCAGGAAGTGAGAAGATTTAAGAAAGATAAAAATTATAGCCCTATAGCCTCCACACTAGGGAGGCCAAATGTATTTTTGGTTTAAAAGGATTGTGGTGAGTTAATCAAAAGGGAAATGTAACTTTGCAAGAAGTTCTAGGAACCAATCCTTTGCTGTTGACACAGTATAGTTGGACGGAAGTGAGTGGATCAGCCATCAGTGGATTCCAGCCCGGCCAGAGGGTAAGAAATGGCCTAGAGCACTGGGCTTGCAGGCATTTCCCGAGTGAAGTCTGGGCAGAGGGAGAACACAGACGTTGGGTTGCCCTCTAAGAACGGGTGGGTAAAATTGGTTCACAGACTCAAAAGGACACAATGGGCCACCAGGAAATTTTTGAAAAGGTTCGGGAGGGATTAGACCCACTTTGCCAGTAGGATATTCTTCCAGAAAATCCCTTTGAAGATATTTTGGGCTTGAATATCCCACAAGTCAGCCAGGTTTCACATTGACAGGATTCTGAAATAATGACCCAACATGTCTTGATTGAACCAAAGTCAAATGGAGCAGAAATTTAGCGTAATTTACACCCTTAGTATAATTTACAAAGCAGCAACTCTTTGGAGAGAAAGATCTGCTTTATGAAGCTATTAGGGAGTCACAACCTTCTTATCTACTATTTTTTAACAATCTGTCTTAGAGTTAATATTTTTCATGCCAGAAACACCCATTGAATACCTATGATGTGATTAGCAGTGTGCTAACGCTGGTACCTGCCATGGCAGAGCTTACTGTGGAGAAGTCAAGACAGGCAATCCAAGAGCAGCTGTTAAATTTCACATAAAACAGGGACTTAGTCACCAGACTGTGCTCATCCTCTGAAGGTCAGTCCTCTATAACCGCCTACCCCAAAGTCAATGTTACTCTAGTAAATTAACTTGTTGTGCAACTTTGAACATATTAAAATTATGATTCTCAACAGTGAAAAAAGTTCTAAATTCTTTGACACTGAAAACATTTATGTTCTTCGAAGTTTGCATTTTATATCAGATTTTGATCATGTGGACAAGTAATGGAAAAAGAAATGGGTATGGGTGACAAATCCATGCAAATGATCGCTGAGTAGGCAGGCGCTCACACCCCGTGTTAGTGCAAAGGACACTTACAGGATGTAAAGACCGCATGTACTCATCTCAGAGTTTGAGCAGCGCCTGGTTTCTTTAGGGGACAAACTATCTCTATCCTTATATCACAGAGGGCCTTTAAGGAACCATTCAGACCAGGAATCTGATATGGGGAAGTACGTTTCACAGTTCTGGAGATGAACAGCTTGACTCTCTCTTACTGTGTCTGAAGGTAGAAGCTAATGACATTGTGTGTGTGTGTGTGTATTCCTTAGAAATCCTGTTAAGGAAGAACAAAGTTTGCAGACCGCTCAGAGACGTAGACGTGATTTGCTGTTCTAAAATTACTTCATAAACGCACATTACATTTGTTGTAGTGGAACCACACGAAACACCATTTTCAAAGTCTGAGCTATTCTGTGGAATTAGAATGTTTGAGCGGTCATGATACGACCCCTTAATTAACCCATGTGGTCCTATTACGATGAGCTGGGTGACAAAGTTCATCCACATTTGCAAAATAAATAAATCATACAGAATATCGTACTCTTTAATTTTACAAGAACACAGGGTCTATGATGATAATTTTAGGGAAATTCATTCTTTACACTAATGTCAAAGTGATTAGTGTCCCCCTCCGTCCCCAGTGAGTTGATGTTTGCAAAGCACAATGGGAGCCAGGGATACCCTCCAGGTAAGCTTTGCTATCACTATTATAATTTTATTTGATCATCTCAACAAACCCTGTGGGTTAAGCAGGGCAGGGAGAATTGTCTCCTTGGGTATGACACTTTTCAGGGTCTCCATAGCACTCCAGCAGCCAGCCCCGCACGGCCATACAGTAGTGGCACTCCTGTGAGTGACACGTGGCCATATATATAGGCAGACCTACCAGCGGCCTTGCGACCTCTGGGGCTGCTTGGGCTCTTGGAAGCCCCAGGAGCGTGCAGATGCTGCAGAGGGCAGGCAGGCGCCAAGCAAGCTCTGGAGCGGGCTCTCCTGCCTGTACCTCGCCTGCCCAGTGACCGTCTCCCTCCTTTACTGAAACCCACCACTGAGTGCAGACGGGGAGCCGGGTTCTTAGTTGCCTGATCCGATGTCTTTCTGCAGCCTGAATAAGGATGTGGGCACGGCGTGTGTGGAACAGATGGTTCAGAGGCAGGAGCCTTTCTGATTCTGAAGTTGCAGCTTGGAGAGACTGGTCCTTGGTCCCTGAGCCACACTGTGCTCTCCTGACTCTGGCACCCCACACCCCCCCCACCCCTGCTGGGGGGCGGTGGACACATCAATCCTTCAGCCCACGGTGTGGAAGGCAGATTCCCTCCAGAGCAGCCCTGTTCCCTGTCCTCACCCCAAACACCCCACCACCCAGGACGTGGAGATGGCAGCTAGAGGCTCCATTGGCAAACTGCTCTGGGATTTCAGAGCTGGCCCAGTCACGGTCCCTTCTGAGCCTCTGTTTGCTTTCTCATGACTAAAAAATAAAACGTAGATGATAGAAATGACAATTAGTGTAGGATAGAGAGGGAATTCTGGAGTCAGGCTGCCCGGGGTGGAGAAGCTACTTAATCTCCGAGAGCTCCATTGTAATCACCCGTGAGATGGGTTGACAAAAGCAGGATTGGCTCTCAGATTATGGGAAGGGACCCTGCCAAGGTGAGCAAAGGGCTCCTGGCCCTTGAGACCCAGCAGCCACCCTCCTCCGTCACAGACCCTTCAGTATGTAAACACTGTAATCAGATCTCAAGGTGAGCGCATGCCACCACCCTTAGCTGCTGCAGGCCACATAATCCGTTTGCTTTGTAAACGAGCAAGCAACAAACCCCTTAGACCCAGGGAAGTTAATAAACTTGACCAAGCATCCGAAGCTGGCAAGTGGCAAAGCAGAAGTCAAAGCAGGCCTCGGACACTTATTCGTTTTCGCCTACATTTGACTCAGTTCCACAAGCATTGTTTGCATCAGGCTGGCGGCCCAGGCCTGTGGGGTGGGGGTGGGGGGGGTGCACGGGGACGACGACAGTGGGCAAGGAGCGTGGTCCCCACAGAAAGTGTGGCCTCCTGGGTGTGCCCGGCACATTTCGCCGCATGTGTGAGTCTCACGGTGGCTCTCATTCCCTCAGAACCAAAAGGAGCGCCGGGCTCAAGCAAAGGGTGCTAACCTTCAGCGGGGCTGGGTGCTAACCTTCAGCCGGGCTGGGTGCTACTGAGCTGGAGAGGGTGGGGTCTTAGTGACAGGACACGCCCGAGAAGCCGGCACATCATGTGGCCAAGGGACTCTGTGCTCCTAAAATAGAAAGAGGGCCCGATTACTCATGATGCCCAGGGTCACTGGCTTACTAAGGCTGTGCTCAGGGAGGAACTGAGATATGTGGGAAGCCTGACACATTACATGCCCCGAGTGGGAGGCTCCGAAGAATGCCCAGATTCTGTTCCTGTTCCGCATGCTCTTCCCACTGTGTGTTCTCACACCACCCAGACACTGAAGATGAATTACGCCAGCAGAGCTTCCGACAACATCCCAGCTCCTGCTACAATGAATTCGTGTTTGTGAGGGGCTTCAGATCACGAAAGCTTTCTTTGCAAAATGTTTCATTGTTTCGTCAGAAAGAAAAATGTAGATAGAAGTGCATTGCATTTTATGCCTCTGAGTTTTAAAGACACTGCTTTGAAAACGAACGCTCCTCCCACCGCCCACCTCACTCCTTACCAAGAGGGTTAGACTTTTAATGTTTAACCATGACCCTTTGTGAAATGCTCTGCTTGTCCGGTTATCTGGAAGCATGCAACTCCAACAAAATGTCCAACGGGCAAATCGCTCTTCCAGAAGGCGCAGTTGCTGCTTTTCTAGTTCGGAGCACAGCGACGGCGGAGCTCACGGACGGCTGGGTTGTGGGTCTCGGGGCTCTGCCGGGAGGAGATGCCACAGCAAACATGACCGTCTTTTAGTGTGTCCTCCCCTAAATGCTCTACAGGAGGTTTCATCGGCTCCTCACAGCAGAAGCATGGGCTGGTTTATAATTAATCCCATCTTGTAGGCAACTGGGAGAGACTGAACAGACACAGAATCTAGCATTCCATCCTAGACCCTCAGCCCAGGCCTCCCGAGAGGTACGTGGCTGGGACCACGCATGCATACGAAAGGGTTGTAAAAAGTCTCAAGTGCACCTCCAAGCATTAGATCTTGGCCTCCACTGGGCGTCCCCCAGGCATGTGACATTTGGGGTGAACTGAGTTTGCTGGATTCGCCAAGTATTTAATTGGGTCATCATTCACCTTTTGATTAAAAATTTCACCATT